AGGGAGGGAGGGAGGGAGGGAGGGAACTTCCTTTCAGGAAAGAGAAAATAACTAGTTCCGTGGAAGAGTATAAACAGATGTCTCTGGACCCAGGAGTGATGGGAAAACTAGGCAACTAGAAGGATTGTCTATTGAAAGTTATGTTTCATCTATTCTCTTGGAGCATTCAATATTCATACCTCAAAATAATTCTTTTCCAAAATGAATAAATAAAGCAGTAAGCTTTCAACTTCTGATAGCACCACAGTGCTATTAGTATGAATTATTTAAAGAGTTTTGTTTTGTTCTAAAGTTTTGATATCAGCTTCAGGGAAGGATCTTAATATTTTATGGAGAAAACTAAGTGGGTATTTGCGAAGATTACCTTGAATTTTGGAAACTGACTTTTAAAAGGCAAGAATGAATTAACCACCATTCTAAATTTGATGAAAGTTTTTAGGAACGTTGGGAATGAGATTCACATTTCTCATATGGTCTCTTGTTTGAAGCAATTCAAATTCATTACCATTTGAGTTAAGTTTATTTTAACTCATAAAAAATACAGGTAAGAATACAGAGTAGGGGAATTAATGAAACAGCAAACTGTATTCCTTCCTACGCCAAGCACCTTAGGGACTAAAGTTTCACAGAGATGTTCCACTTCTACCTGGCATGGGAGGCAGCAAAGGCTTTGAACAACCTTAGCAATACCCACCTTGCTTTTTGGCTGGCAAGCAAGGCTTGTAGGGTCTGGAAATAATATAAAAGAAAGAATGTTGTACTTTCCATTTTTAGGCCCAGTGCTCAGTACATGGAGATGTGCTCCACCAGAGCGGTTTTGGAAGAAGGTGCATTCCATTTTGACCCAGGTCAGAGTAACCTGGGGAGTTTTATTCCAAACCATTACTCAGGTGATTAACCAACCACACATTCACATTCAAATAAAGCCAGTGGGTATTGATCTGAAGAAAGTTCCAGCAGATCTACACGTAGCAGATGTAGTTGGTATCAATGGACAACTTGTTTAACTTCCAAAAAGACATTCCTAAGAGCCTCCATCCTACCCCAGCACTGGGGCTAAGATTCTCCTTCCTTAATGGCATGCACCTATTGCTAATGTAACCATTTTTTCTAGGGCATACAGGTGAGGGTGGCCTGTGCTCTGACCCCCACCCCCCCGCACTCACTAATGTAACCATTTTTTCTAGGGCATACAGGTGAGGGTGGCCTGTGCTCTGACCCCCACCCCCCGCACTCACTAATGTAACCATTTTTTAAGAAGTCTCTATTTCTGCATGAAACTCTGCTTCCTTTGCTTGTCCGCACCCCAGCTCTGAAACATTTCCAAATAAGCATTTTTATCACAATGCAGTATACATAAAGAAAGTTGCACAAATACAGAGGTTTCCGCTTGATAAATTTTCACAAAATGAATGCACCCCATAACCAGCTCTAGGGTTAAGAAAAGAGCTCAGTCAGTGCCTACCTCAGGGGCTTTACTTGAGCCCTTCCCAGTCAAATTCTCCCTTACTTCTGAAAGGTAACCACCTTCCTGATTGCTTTAAATTTTTTAATTAACTAAAAATAATTAGGACAGCTTTGCAACATGATTAAACATACATGTATCAAATAATCTGTCCATTTAATAAGTTAATATGACTTGTTTTTGTTTTGCTACAGAGGTAGTAATATTTTTGTTTTCTAGTACTGGGGGATTTTACCCAACGCTCTGTGCAAGGTGTGCAAATACTCTACCATGGCACTGTATCCCTAGCCCATGCTGGTAATTTTTTCAGCACATGACTGTGTCCTACAGCCTCCTGAGGACTATTGGGTGGGGGATTTTACCCAACGCTCTGTGCAAGGTGTGCAAATACTCTACCATGGCGCTGTATCCCTAGCCCATGCTGATAATTTTTTCAGCACATGACTGTGTCCTGCAGCCTCCTGAGGACTATTGGGCAGCATAACATGAGCTATAATTCATGAACCACCAACACTGAACTTCTATGAGGCTTAAGGGATCCATCCAAAGAGCTGCTTTCCACACACCAGAGAGCAATTCAGCTGGGTTAGGAAGAAACCCTGGAATGGCCCCCAACATTCCCTGCTTCCTGAGACTCATCTGCTTGTAGAATCTCTTTCCAGACTATGGGCTGACCTAATGACCTGCTTCCATCAAACAGAACATCACAGATGTACTGTGGTGTCACTATTGTGACTGGATTATCACTCACCTTGCTCACCCAACCACTACTGTTGTCCTGCCTGCTCAGAGGCACTGTTAGGAAAGGACCTAAAGGCAATCTCCTCTTAACAGGCCTCTGGCAACTGCTCAGTGCAAGGAACTGAATTCTGATGACTACAACGTGAAACTGAGAAGCAGATTCCTCCAGGGGACATATGAACAGATGCCTAGAGGACACCTTGATCACAGGCTTACATGAGATCTACTAGAAGAATCACCTAGCCAAGCCATGCCTGGGTTGTGGACCCATAGAAATTCTAGAATAGTAAATGCTTCTTATTTGAAGCTCCTGAGATAAGGGTAATTCACACCCAATATATAGATGCTTTACTGAGAGAAAAGAAAAACAGGTTAGTCATCCGTTATATGACAATAACTTTGAGGAGCTGGAAGTCACAGAACACTGTGGAGGCTGGTAACAGTTCTGAATCTTTTGTCAGAGTGGAGTATTATCAAGGTCACAGTCTTTGTCTTGCAAATGTGCTGAGCTGCCCTTCTCCCATTCTACTTCCTGTTGCTCCCAACCGGAACTACAGCAGAGCATCCAGTGGGAGACATTCTACTTCCCTCCTCTTCCCCATATTCTTAATCATCACTTACGCACCAGACGTCAGCTAAACCTAAGGACCCTAGGCAGCCACTTCTGTCCTCTGGGCTACCTAGGCCCCTGAGCTTGTATCCACCACAGTACTTATTGTGCTGAATTTTAGCCATTTGTTTTCCTGTCTCCATGATTCTGGGTGTCCCACTCAGTGGTCACTGTGACCTAGGATAGTGCCTGGGACATAATAAAATTCAGGAACTAGCTCTGCACTGACAAATTCATTCCTATCAGCTCTCACAGACAAACAAATCCTACAAGACGGTAAAATCCCAACACACTTTAGCATACTACATTGAATAGCCCTACACATTAATCAGCTCTGTAAACACTAAGGAATGAGTGAAAATAATGTCTTTTATCATTAAATATTGCAAATTTTTCTGAATTTTGAGACTCTGTATAATTAGACTATACTTTTTCTGGTCCGTTCCAGCCTCATTTTTATAGCCTTTCAGGTGTTTGGTTCGTCTCTTGATTAACTGGGGCGTCTGACTTCCTGGAGCCATTCAGCCATCTCAGCCTTGTCCTTTTGATTGCTGATACTTTTCCTGAAAAAGGACAAGGCTGAGGGACATGTACAAAGCAGAATTAAATTGCAAGCACTATCGAGGCTTTTCAGAATCCATAAACCTTCTACTAATTTAAGACTACTTTACAAAGCACCCTGCCCTCCTCCTGCTCATGTCATGGTCTAAATGTGAAATCATGATGCTTTTGTTATAAGGAACCCTTTGTTATGGGAGGCTCCGAAAATAGCTTCAGTACATCCTGCACTGGTCCTCCGTCCCATGTGACATCTGCTGGTCTATTACCACAGTGTATACCTCCCACTGCCTGGCTCCCCCATGATCTCTAGCTGCAGTGTCTACAGCTGACAGGAAATTTCCTGTTGGATCTAGTAGTGCACAAAAACAGAACCCATGAATGAATCAGATGAAAACCCAAGGCTTTGTTTCTATTACTGTCTATTTTTGTCAAAGGATGATCTCCATCACTAATCAAAATTTGATCCAAATACTGTGCTAGATGCAGGGGTTACAAGAACAAATTACACATAGTCCTTGCCTTCTTGGAGCTTGGAATTCAAATGTTGACATCAGAGTGACTATAAAATCAAAGCTTGTTATGGATGCTGATGTGGAAAGGTCCTAGAACATGTCAGGGTCATGTTGCTCTGTAGGATTATGTTACTTCACTGGCTTTTCTTCCTCCCACAAAAGTACTCAGGGAAGAGTATACGTGTCTCTGCAGAACCCGTCATTTCTTTGTCTTGCATGCGCAGTTCCCACCATCTGAGATTATCTTACCTTCAATGTACTGTTCAAGGTTCGGATCTTGTGAAGTTTCTCGTTTATGGATGGGTTTTTGCATCGCTTCACAAAGGACTTTCTCAATTCCTTTTTGGTTGAAGGTCTCCGGTCCCCAAGAGGAGACAAACTAGCTTGTTCTAATGATTTATAAAGTTTCTCCATCTCATCATCTTCGGATACTTTTATTTCTTCTATTTAAAAAAAAAAAAAAAAAAAGCAGTAACAACAAATCCAGTTAAAACAAGGAGAGAACTCATCAGACACTGTGGTCCTAAAAGGTGGCCTGCCCACATCATCTGAGACTTCTGGTCTCCTGAGGTGCAGAGCAATAATGTTCTGTTGTCTGCCCATTCCCATCACATGATTTTGCTAGTTGGGACCACCTTCCATTTAATGAATACATCCGCAACATTTCCTAACAAGGCTACCTCCTGATACTTCTGGGAGACAGGAGGATAGAGGGCAGGTCGTCAATGTATGAATTTTTGTGGGACACAAATTAGACCCACCCCTGGCCCCTCAAAATTCACATCTTCTCACACACAAAATACGTGCATTCCATTCCAACATCTTCTAAAGTCTTAACCTATTAAAACATCAACTCTGAGGCCATGACACCCAAATATCCTCAAAGTTAGATACTGGTGAGATTTGAAGGACAATTTGTCCTGGTGCAAAATTCATGTCCATCTCTGAACCTGTGAAAGAGACGTTACCTGCTTCTAAAATGTAATGATAGGACAGGCAAGCACTACAAGCTAAACCTTAACACAAAGTCTGAATGCCAGCTGCCCTAGATATCTGCCTGGTGGTCTCTGAGGAAGAAGTCTTCCTGTGTTTGACTGTTGTGAGAATGCAGTGACCATTCCTCATCCTGCCCTGCTCTCACTTCTTCTTCCCCACACCTAGTCAGCATCAGACATGATTTCAGTGAGGATGAGCCAAGAGACAACTCAGGCAGAGGCAGACAAGTGCAGGCCAGAAGACTCAGCTCTGGAACTTTGTTTTGGAACATCAGAGATGCATTGCTCTTTTAAAAAAATAAAAACCTGAATATGAGTTGGGTGTGGTGGCACCTGCCTGTAGTCCCAGCACTTGGGAGCCAGAGGCAGGAGGATCTCTGTGAGTTCAAGGCCAGCCTGGTCTACATAGTGAGTTCTAGGACAGCTGGGGCTACAGGAAGACCCTGTTTCAAAAAGACAAAAACAAAACAAAACAAAACAAAACAAAACAAAACAAAACAACCCGAATATGGTGTTATACAGGGCTAGAAACGTCCAGAAGTCATGCTAATCAGAACAGAGCCAGTCCACTGGGACACAGGCTTGTGGAGTCCTTTCAGCTTAAAGAACCTCTGTGGAGCTACTCTGGCTATGGCTTTCAATTATAGTTAACTACAGACTTCAAATGACACCAATGTCACCCCAGGGAAATTTTCATTCTTTATGTGGTAATTTCTTTCTTACAAAAAATTTCAGCTTTTTATTCCTTTTATTCCTGAAAATAATCTTGGGAAATGCACACATGAGGTTTCTTTCCCACCACTCCCTCTTAGTGTTTATGCTTATCCACCTGTGCTGAGAACAAGCTTTAGAGAGGGCCCTAACAAACAGGTCCAAGGAGGTAGAAGTTCATAAGATCTTGTAGGAACATCAGAACCGAGCAAACTTCTCTTACTTTACAGTTTGCTGTTCTATGATTAGATATCTTTAAACAAAAACTAGCTTTCCCCATCTGCCTCATCATGTGGCTGTGAGTTGTTCCCAACACTCTTGCCTGAGATGGAGAGCATGATGCTTCCATCTGTAACTGACTTACAGTGTTGATCAGCACAACCTCTTTGTTCTCTAACCAAATATTCTAAAAGGTGGGGGGAGGGGTATAAAATTATATCTGAAGACAGACTTTTTGGATCAGATATATTCAATCATCAATAGTAGACTTGTCAATAAGCTCAAGAAGAGCTACTGTGGGGATGAAGGGGGTGGCTCAGTGGCTAAGAGCACTGACTGTTCTTGCAGAGGAACCAGATTCAGTTCCCAGCACCCACTTGGTAGCTAACAACCATCTGTAACTCCATTTCCAAGGGATCTGATGCCCTCTTTTGACCTCTGTGAGTATTGCATGACACGGGTACACTTGCATACATACAGGTAAAACACTTAAACATATAAAATAAAAATTAAAAAATGAAAAAGAATACTATTATCATTAGTCTTTAGGGAAAAGCAAGTTGAGACCACAGAGAGATAACATGTTATATCCACGCAGACGGCTAAAATAAAAACAAGACAGTAATAAGTCTGGCTAAGGATACAGAGAATGGAAGCTCTCTTTCATGGCTGGTGGGAATGGGATATTAGAGTCACAACTTTTGAAAGTTGATGATGTGCTAGAGTGAGAATGGAACTTGGCAATTCCACCCCAGATGTGCATGACTACTCACAGTAACATTACTTATCATAATAAGCAGTGGGCAGAGCCCAAGTGCTCATCAGTAGGAAAGTGGATCACTAACATGGTGTATGCACACAAGGGAGTCCTGTTCCATGACTGAGAATACTAAATCATCCGCAGTGCTGAAAAAGGAAAGAGACACAAAATACCACCGATTCTATGACTCTGTTATACGAAGTACCCAGAATAGGCAAACCTATGGACACAGAAAGTTGTCTGGGCTGCTAAGGAGACAAACAGAAGCGAAGAATGTCTGAGAATGTGCAGGGCTTTCCTATTGTGGCACCAAAAATGTTCTCAAATTATGTTGCAGTGATAATTGCACCAATCTATGTGTACCAAAAAGCACTGAACTGTGTACACTTATGAGTGAATCTTATGTTATGGGAAATATATATCAGTATAGCTCTAAAAACAAAAAAAGCTTTTACAAGGCTATCATCATAGCTGATGATATGTTCACAGCAAAACTGGTAATAATCTGGAGATAGTATGATGTCTTTTAAAAAAATCAATAGATGCTGGTGTGTTTAATCATAGCACTTGGGAAGCAGAGGCATGCAGATCTCTGTGAGGTTGAGACCAGCTAGAGTCACATGGAGAGACCCTGTTTCACACACACACACAAAAATCCAGGTGTGGTGGGGACTGTCTTTAATCCCAGCACTCAGGCAGCACAGGCAGGCAGATCTCTTTGAGATAAAGGCCAGCCTGCTCTTCTCAGAGAGATCATCTCCTAATCTCTTCAAGGCCAGCGGTGGCTACAGGGAGACTCTGTGTCTAAAATATAAAAACAATAATAATAATAATAATAATCAATGGATCCAGGCATGGTGATGTACACTCATGATCCCAGTAGTTGAGAGACAGAGGCAGAAGAATTGTGAATTCAGGGACAATCTGGGTTATGTAGCAAAATCTTATTTCAAAGAAATAAAAAGCAAAGGTAAATCATTCATAGAGATGCATTACAGATGAAAGCTTGTCACAAATGTTATCTCTTTTATAACAGGCAGAATTCTATTTCAGATAAATACAAATGATACAGTGTTTGATATTGCAGCATTCTTACATAAATAATATATGTATAACAAACTTTTAAGAAGCAACTTAAATGTGTAAAAGCTAAATAAAAATTTTCATTAAAACCCCTTATACTCAGCAGTTAGTTACTGAAGACAAAGATAGAAGCATCATTATATTTCTTGCTAATGTGTTACTTGTATGATTATGTCAGGGTAAAATTATACTTAGATCATATATCTGCTTCAACAGATATTAAGTAAAGTTAAAATAACTTTCAAATCTTGGAATAACAAAGCATAAAGAATATTCTCTAAATAAACAACAAATAGGGTTTCCTTTTTGGAAAATCTTTTTAAAACATTTTATTTTATAATTTTTTATTTTATTTTATGTGTATGTGTGTATTGCCTGCATGTAGGTAAGTGCACCCATGTTGTTCAATGCCCATGGAGGAAAGAAGAGCTGTAGGAGCCCCTGGAACTGGAGTTATGGACAGTTGTTAGCTGTCATGTGGGTGCTGGGATTCAAACCCGGGTCTTCTGCAAAAATATCCACCGTTCTTAACTGCTGAGCTATCTCTCCAGCCCTGGAAAAAATTTTTCTTCTAATATGCTTATATAAAGATATATGATCTTTCAGAACTTCCAGACCAGCCAGTCATGTAGGTCTCTGTAACTCCGTAGGTTTCCTGAACTCTTCAGGAAAGCATAATTTCTCCTTTTCGTCTTCATGCCTTTCTTTCTAAACAAGCTTTCTTCAAGGCTGTGGGCTGCCTCTAGCATCTTATGTTTCTTCACTTTTTCTCTAAAGCTTCCTTCTCCCAGCTGTGTGGCTGCCAGTCAGCCATGTGTCTGACCTCCACACAGGCTCTAACCCTGCATGGCTCCATGGCTTTCTCTCCTTCTTCCCACTACTCACTTCCTCAAGGCAGCTGCCAAGATTACCAGCTTGCCTGACCTGAGGATTTTTCAAGATTCTAATAAAATTGTAAAAACTTCCATTTGGGACCATTCTTAAATTCTTTTATGAATGAGACTAAGAACCCTCTATGGGGACCCTCTTTCTCCCTGTTTCATATTGGCAACCACGAAGGGACCCCAAAATTCTAATAACTTATTTACTTGGTGGTCATGTGGAGAATTGCAAGCACACACTGAATTCGACTCTTAAGCAAACAGGTGAACGTCCTTATTTTGCTCTCTTGCCTTGGGGCATTCCAGCTTAGGCTGAGAGGCTGGGTGGCTTTGGTAGAGAATTCAAAGAATTTAAGGTGTCTTGTCCCATGGACAAAAGGAAAAAAAGATTTTAAAAGCCATTTTATGTC